TATTTTTCACTAGTTTTGAAGATTTTTTGTATTGCAAATGTAATTTATTAAGTTTAGCTTTGGAATTCCTAGTTCAGATAGATACAACAGTAATGCCAGAATGCTTCCAAAACTCCTCGATAAAAAAAGTTATAATAAAGTTTATTACATCATACCTTTTTTCTTTCTGCATTGGTCCATGATTGAGAAAAACAAAGTAGAAAAGCATACCCTTATTTATACAGCTAACAGCTATTTTAGGGTAAAATCTTTAAGTAAGTTGCAGAAGGATACTTTTTAGAAAACGGTATAAAAGGAAAATGGGCCAGTTCGGGTGACTGAACATTTCAAACCATGCCATGGTACTTTTGGCTGTTTGCATCCCAAAACTAAATCTATAAATCTGGTTAAGCCATCAGACTATTAAAGGAAAAGAACGCAGCCATAAAATTTGACGAGTCTGAATTTGATTAATCTGAATATGAAACAAATGTTGAAGACACCCATTCTCAGTGTGACCCAACTGATTTATCTCTACCAGAATATATTTTGGTAGAGATAAATCAGGAATTCCTTATATGGCTCACACTTCAGCTTCTTATAAAATCAATTTACAAACATTTTAGAGCAACTATCTCAGAAACAAGACAAGTTGTATCAAAAATTAAAAAATCAAGTGTAGCAATTGAGAAACTCATTAACAAGTATGGAAAGTCTGTGGTCACTGACTGAACCACAAGATGGAACATTACATATCAGATAATCAACCGATTGTTTAAAATAAAGACAATAGTGGATGAAGTTCTAACAGAAATTGGTATATATTATTTATGTTATTAATGTATACAAACTATTTTTGGGAATTTAAAATTCACAGGAGTTATAAAACAATGATAATTATCAGTCATTATAATTGTTACTAGTAAACTTTAATTTCTAATGGTTTACTTAAATTTAGGAATTGACACATTCAAAGCAAGTGAATGGGTTTGCTTCAAAACATTTCCTCGCTTTTAGAATCTTTCACAATACAAACAGATATACTTCAAACCAATATCTAATCCCTTTCACAGTGAATCTTTTTGAAGATCTATGCCAAAGATTTAAACAATTCTGCAGCCGGACTTGGATATATTTAATTTTCCTCCATCTGCAGCTTTTTTGTTAGATTTTTGTTATTATTATGCCAGGTGCTATAATGAAAATCGAAAGAGCTTCTATAAGAATATATGATAGAAATTCAGACATATTTTCTTTCAGTTTAAAAAAAAATCTTAATTCAATTTAACCATTGAATGACTGTTTTACAATTATTTGTTTTCTTATTTACATTGTATTATATTATATTAGGAAATTGTTTTAATATAGTTGTCTTGAAACTTTGATAATAATACTTAATAAGTTAATATCCTGACAAAATTTAATGAAATATTTGACAGAAGTAAAATATTAACTGAATTAGGAACTGAAATAAAGAGAAAAATTGTTGAAATCATAAGAATATAACTGAAATTAATTTCAAGAGAACTGATTTTAAACTAAAATAGGAATTGTTTAAAAGTAAAATCAGAAATTTAATTAATGTGAATTATTTTAAAAGTAAAATTAGAAATTTAATTAACATGAAAACAAAGATGTGGGGGCCATTTTTTTTTTTGTATCTTGTTATTCTTTTTTTAATGTTATCTTTTCAACAGTTTGCTTTTATTATTATGATTTTCTTTGTTTATATATATATGTACATACATACAGTGGCGTGCTGGCCCCAGAGGCTATACGGAATCCCGCTTGGGCCTATTGGTATTTATCCTAGAAGGGCTTTTTTTTTGAATTTTTTTACCCTTTACTATATTTTAAAATTGATTCACAAATAATATTTATTTGCTTTATTTTTTATTCCACAAGTTAAATTCTTAAACAAATCTCTGATTCAAACTGTTAGACTTCAAGCGCATATATATATTAGTATTTTGCATAATAAAATGCAACCTTTGTAACTTTTGCCTCAAAACAAAGTTGACATTGAAAAAAATAATTGATCGTTACATCACTCAAATCGCTAATTATATCAGTTGTTATATAGATAAATTTATTTAAGTTAGCCAATGATTATTATGAGAAATAATTGTGTTCAATTTTAAATTATGGAAAAATATTCATAAATAAAGTAATTGAATATATCTATATATTTTATTAATATGACTAAATAATAGTACAGTTATTTATCCGTATTACTATAACATAATATAATATAAGCTTTCTTTCAGAAACTTTGTTTATATAACATAAAATACAATAATTCTTGTATATGTTATAAAGCTAAAACAAAAATAAATTATATAAGTATATATATACATATATATATATACATATATATATATATATATATATATGTATATATATATATATATATATATATATATATATATATAAATATATATATATATATATATATATATATAAATATATATATATATATATATATATATATATATATATATATATTTAGTATAATAATATATATACTTTTTAAATTTTAACGTTAATGTTTTTTTAACAATAAAATAAAAATTCTATTTGGTTACCATAAAAACGCGGTGAAATTTGTTTATTTTTAGGAATAAAAATATAAAACGTGCTTACCGCAGCACAATAAAACGTGCTTGCCGCAACACGGTGGCATTTTTAATTGTAAGGAAATCCAATTATAACTCGTTGTTCTTAATTAAATTATTTAAAAAAAGGTTTGAATTGAGACATACAATAATTGGCTTAGACCAATTATGTGTATAATAATGTATTGCACCTTCTAACATTGTGTGCAATCCTGTCTGCTTTCTCTATGCTATCTTTCTAACTCAACTACTTCTATCTTTCACTCTAAAGTATCTTCATTCCTCCCGAAATCACTTTACTCTTGGTCTGTAGAGCGGGTTATGACGCTCCTTGGGGAGCCGAACTTGTCTTTGCGGGCCTTGGTAACGTTGTCTCTGTATGGCAATTAGCCGGAGGAGGACCATAATACTAATTATAACTCGTTGCTTTAATATGTTGATTTAACTGGATAAGGTCAGCTTTTTATTGATATATATATATATATATATATATATATATATATATATATATATATATATATATATATATATATATATATATATATATATATATATATATATATATATATATATACATATATAAATATATTTATATATATTTAAATATATATACAAATAAATAAATAAATAAATATATATATATATATATATATATATATATATATATATATATATATATATATATATATATATATATATATATATATAATATATATATTTACCCAGGTCATTGATTCCCTGATTGTCTGATAGTGTAACACTGATGTAACGGTTTTATACAATGTACGTATTAATCATGCAGAAGTTATTTTATTTTAAAGCGTGTCAATTACTTAAAGAATATCATGTGTCAAAACAAATTCATTTTATTTAAACTGTATTAACATTATGAGTTACAATATTGTGTGGTGTAGTGGTTAATAAATTTGGGCATGGTGCCTGCACTCCCGGTTTAATTCCTATTGGAGTCTATTTTTGTTTTTTTAGAATATTTTTTTATTAAATAATTAATGCAAATTTATTAATAATAATAAATATTAATAATAATAAATATTAATATAATAAAAGAGGTTCCTCAGGATCAGGAACTTAGAGGTTAATAAGTAGTTAAATGCTCTTACTCTCAAGTCCTTAGAGAATGGGATGGGGTGAAAATAAAAAAAAAGGTGGGGTGTGGGAATTTAAGTCTAGATCTAATGAACAGGGGGGGAGGGGTATATATAGTTAATAAAAGAGGGACTTGGTGTAGTTAAGATGATTTACAAATTATTCGAAATCTTTTATTTGGAATTGGCATGAATTTATCCGCGTATAATGTCCAAACAAGAGCTTTGAATGTTATAATTTTTTTTGCTTGAGGTTTTTTTAATGTTTAAAGAAACTTTTCTTTTTTTATATAATTTTCATATACCCATAATAGTGAATCTAAAGAACACTATTTTGGGGTCTTTTTGGGTCCGCTCATCGGTGTTAACATGAATTTTGTTTAAATCTTTTGAAAAAGTTCCTTAATTTACTATTGATCCTAGTTCTAATTGATTTTGTCATATATTAACTATATATAGTTGTCAAAACATAATATTTCTATCAATTTTCACAAAAAATACTAGAATTCCGACCAAGAAAAAGCTTACAATAAAGAAAAATTGCCAATAAACGATCGTAACAGATCATATTATTAAACTATAATGTTCATTTCACCAAGAAAATGTATTTATTTAAAATCTTATTTAAATTTGGATAAGCGATTGTGATTTTAAGAAGATTAAAAAAAAAAAAAAGAACCTTTGTTCTGGTTTTTTTTTGCTATAATTATTTATATTTTATGATACCGCAAAATTTATAATTTTTTTTTTTTTGTCTTTTCATAATTCACAGGCCTGATCATTCAATGGAAATATGTTGTAGTCAACAAAATATCAGGCAGACGCTATAATATTTTATAATTGCCTTAACTACACCAAGGAGTGTAAATTTTTTTATGATTAAGTATAAGTATTTTTTTAAAAAAGTTTAGTTTATAAATCCGAACTAATATTTTTTACAAAATATGCCTAAAACTATTTAATTCTAGTGTTGCTTCAAATGCGCATTTTCTAACAGCTGTTTTAGCATAATTTCAATAATATCTAATATGCTGAATCAAGATTTACCAGATCAGATTTTAATTCTTTTTCACTTAAAAACACTCATTAGGTATGCAAAATATATATAAGATTTATTTGTCTTCACCGGCTTCGCTTCACTTTTCAAAAAAATTATCATATTAAAGTGTAAAAGGTTGCTAAAAATGGGCGCCACAGGTGCCCATGAATTTTATAGTATATACACACACAAACACACACACATACATAAATATATGTGTATAAGATTATATATAAGGTTTTAAAATTAGATCAAAATTACTTGACAATTTCTGGCAAAGCAAGATTTTCATTAATATTTTTTAGAAGCTTTATACTGCCAGACTCTTCATTTGCTATTTCTTTTTTTTCATTGTCTGTAAGTGAAATATTAGCAACTGCAATGGCTAAAAAAATATTTAATAAAACATCTAACCACCATTGTCAAGGATAAATAGTTAAAAACATTGATATTATTTGATTGCATTTTACTGATCATATTATTATTTATTATACTTTACTTATATAGACTATATAACAGTGTCAACATTTTTAAGATTCTTAATTTTAGTAATTTTGTTCAGAGTTTATTGCTATGTAACATTTGTATTTGTAAGTATAGAAAATACATTGTGTTTTTTTGTTTTGTTTTTTTTTTGTTTTGTTTCTCATAACTTTTATGCACAGTTTTTAAAACTAATCTTGAAACAAATTAGGTTATAAAATAATAAGACTCTATTAGACTTTTATACCAAATTTTAAAAAATATAGAGAGATGTTCCAATATTCCTTAAACATTTATAATCTCATCAAAGTACTAAAAAAAGCTAAGAAAGTGGTTAATGATAGATATTTTTGTTTATAAGCGGCTAATTAAATTAAAAACTATTAAATTAGATTATTATAAGAGGTTAATTAAATTAAAAACTATTAAATTAAATTATTATAATTTATTTATTTTTTTAAAACATTAGATTTTTATAAACATTAGATTACTATAAGAGGTTATTTAAATTAAAGTTTAATGTCATAGCAAAAAAAAATTTATTTTGAGAGAAAAACTTTTTATATAAAACAATAATTCTATATGACACCATGTTTAAAAATTTAAATTTTATTATATACCACTTTACTATATATACTTTATAAATTTATCATAGCTTATACTTTTACCTATAACAAATATATTTTTTATAAACATTAGGTACTTATATACAACTATATATACATATATATATATATATAACTAAAAAGATACATCTTCCAATACAAGTTACTGCCACAAAATACAATGATATTAAAAACCCATTAAATGAAGCGCTTTTCCCTGTCATTGTCAAAATTGCATTATTCATAACAATATTCCAATCTTCTCCAGTAATAATCTGATTTTAAATTTAAAAAAAAAATCAGATAAAAAGGGGTATGTTAACTAAGCAGATTCAACATTTAAAAAACATAAAAAATTTAGGATTAAATCTTCAAAACATAAAAAAATTTAGGATCAAATCTTCAAAACATAAAAACTTTAAGATCAAATCTTCAAAACAAAACTAGAAATGACTAAAAAAACTAAAAAAAAAATTAAAAAAAACTTTTAACATATTTCAAACCTGAAAAACTGTCAACACTGCGTTTACAAAATCATCAAAGTTTGTTCGAATCTTTTTAGTGTTTAATCTAAGTTAAAATTTTATTAATATTTAACTGATGATAATAAATTTATAAAATTTAATTATTTTTATTATTTAACAAATATTTAAATATTTTTTCAATGCATTAAATTTTTCAATTATTCTTAATTTTGCATAAAGTTTGTAGTATTTACATTTCCATAAAATTTATAATGTAATTAAGAAACTTTATTAAATATAATTATTTTTATTAAAAATATTTCTTTAAGAAATATTTGAAAATATTTAACTCCATTAGTATTGCAATTATAATATTTCCTTCACACTTAACATAATAAATAAAAACAAATTGTGTATCATCATTTTAGTTTAGCTAAACTTTATAATTAAAAAAATACTTACTCCACACAAAAAAATTGCATACTATTAATGCAAATATCAAAGTAAACTTAATAATTAAAAAAAATACTTACTCCCCACAAAAAAACTGCATATCAAGTAATGCAAATATCAAAGTAAACTTTATAATTAAAAAAATACTCACTCCCCACAAAAAAACTGCATACCAAGTAATGCAAATATCAAAGTAAAAATAAACAACAATAGTAACAAGCTCAAGATTGATGATAAACTTGATAAAATTGAAGCAACTAAAAACTTTAGTGACTTCCAGTGTCTAAAACAAAAACTTGATCAAAGATTTCAAACAAATTGAACAGATAGCAGTTAAAATATTCAGCATGTATATTCCATTTACAAATATTTAAACAAAATACTTTGAGGCTTTTTACAATGTTTGTGTTCTGTTATTTTAAAATTCTTTATAACTTATAAAGAATAAAATTTATAATAATTTATACAACTAATCAAATAAAAAATAAACATATAATTCTAAAATAATCTCTTTACAAAATATATGCAAAAGAATTTTAAAATGTAAATAACTTTTCATTTCTATAAAAAGCTTAAACTAATTAGACGCTAAATTTTTAACAAAACAAAACAAAGATTATGTCTTGTTAAAAACTTTAAAAAGACTAAAAAAAATTTTAAACAAAATTTGGTTTTAAAAAGATGAATTCGCTTTAAAATATTATCAGTAAATATGCTGATCTCGCATATGTAATAGCTTTTCATCACAGCCTCCTCAACATCTAAGTCACAGAAAGGATTGTTATTATTAATTATTGGCATTATTTTCACTGCTTTTACTGGTATTCTAGACTTTTTGAAACAAATGTTTGGTCTGAAAAGGAATCCCATACTTTTTTCAGCATTAACATAACAGTCTCAATAGTCTCATATTCCTTTTTTCTAATCTACTTTTTCCACTGTGAATGAGTGACACTTGGCTTTAAGAGATTGGATAATTCCTTAATTCTTTGGATAGGATCAATGCCATTTTAATAAAAGAATGATAAACTCCACTCAATTGTTTTACCTTAAGATGAGCAGAGCAAATAGTTAGAGTAATTTTTTATCTAACTTTTAATTGGTTTTTTCATTCTTCCAATAATTTTGCCAACATACAACTTTATTATTTGGCCTGATACAATTAAGGAAAATTTTTCACACATTCAGAAACATCTTGGAAGCCTTGACTTTCTAATTGCAAGTATTGAAAGTCTTTTCCTTTAACATTATCAGCCACCATCCCAGTTTGGCAAACCTTGCTGTGCCTGCCTCCGGTGCACTTTTCAATTTTTAAATTTGAACTTTTGTCTGGCAAGTATTGGTAGAAAAATTTAATTAGACATTACCGAATTCATACACATAAATATTTTTAAATAAATACCTTTAAGTTGGTATTGAGAGAGAATTATTTATTGGCATGAAAAATATTTTGCAGCGGATATTGAGAGAATTATAGACAATGTGGCCACATTAATAATAATAGTGTTAACTTTATTCATTAACCAACTTTGACTCTTTAGAAATGGTTTTGAAAGATTTACTATACTTATATAAGATTTAGCATACTTATATAAAAACAATTATTATAAAATATTATTTTGTTATAATAATTGTTTTAATTCTTAAATTTGATATATTTGCAAATTTTCAAAGATATCAAAATTATTCCAGAAAATATTTCATTTTCTTAAAGCAAATCAAGAAAAAAGGTTTTATATTAATCCTTTGATGTAATCTCTTAAATAAGAAAGATGGAATAAAATAAGAAATTAACTTTAAAATTAACTTTACCACATTTTATTGACAAAAGGTTTTTTTGCCTAGTTGAAAAAATGTTTAGCGGAATATCAAAGATTTTAGAAACCTCTTTCTTTGTTTTCTATTTTTGAAAACTAGAGCCATTTAGAATTTGATTAAAAATATTCCATAGTCTAACAAGCATTTAACATGTCAAAAATTATTTTAGAATTACAGAGAGAACTACACTGACAGTTATAAAAAATCCACTTATAGAGTAGATTTTTTAGACATGTAGTTTATTAAAATATAGATATTTGAATTATAAAAAGGTAAAATAAGAATTTCTTAAGGAAACTTCACTATGACTTTTTATAAGAATAATGAAGGTTTTGAATTAAGCAGAATTTTGAAACTAGAGAGATTTTACTGGAGTAATATGAAAATAATTTTAAAGTAAGTTCATGCTTATGAAATAGAATTAGATTTAAAATAAAATAGATTAGATTTAAAATAAAATGAAATTACTAAATTTTAATTTTGTTTGATTAAAAAATGGTGTATTTTTAACTTTAGCATATGGAAAAACAAAATCAAGATTTGTTGTAGCTGATAATTATCAGATAAAACAAGTCCTGATTTTTACTGATTTAGTATTTTTATGATTGCTGATTAGTAGTTTTGTGACCAAAACTAAAAATTGTAACTAACTAAACTAAAAATACCGTAACTAAAACTAGTCGACTAACTTTTTAGTTAACTAAAATAAGTCGACTAATTTTTTAGTTAACTAAAATTACCCGAGTAACATTTTAGTTAACTTAAATTAGTCGGCAAACTTTTTAGTTAACTAAAATCAGTCGACTAACTTTTTAGTTAATTAAAATTACCCGACTAACATTTTAGTTAACTAAAATTACCCGACTAACTTTCTAGTTAACTAAAATTACCCGACTAACTTTTTAGCTAACTAAAATTACTCGACTAATTTTTTAGCTAATTAAAATTACCTGACTAATTTTTTAGTTAACTAAAAATACCCGACTAACTTTTTAGTCTAACTAAAATTAACCGACTAACTTCTTAGTTAACTAAAATTAACTGACTAAGTTTTTAGTCTAATAAAAGAAATTTATAAATATATAACACAAATAGTTTGGGTTCATGATATCATTTCTATTAGAAATTTTGAACAAGTTTGCTAATGCATGATCTTTTTACTGCATAATACCGCAAAAATAAAAAAAATTCAAAATATATATTTTTTTAATTTTCAGTGCCAAAGGTTTAACGAGATAATTTAGGAAAACATTTCATAAAAACTCCAAAAACTAAACAAGGTAAAACACAAATATCTTTAGAATTGAACAAGCTACCAAGGCCACTGCAAAAGAGTCAAGGGATGGGGTGGTTGGTTTTGAGTGTGATATCCCACTAATCAACATTTAGCACATTTAGTAAGCCAATTCGTAAATCAATGATACGGTAGTGGTGTAGTAGTAAAATGCTCGCTTCATAAGCAAGAGGTTCCAAGTTCAACCCCACCAAGTCCCTAGTAATACCGCGCTGAACTTGTTTCTCCACGCAGCGGCCTTGTTCGCCAAGGTTCGTGTTTTGGAGTTATAGAGTCGAGAGAGGGTTATAACCACTATTAAGTAGCCTCCTTATCTCTAGAGGCCTTCTCGGCTTTCAGGAGGTGAATGAAAAAAAAAATATTTGACTCTTTTAGATAAGTAAGTCGGCAAATGCAGTTTTGCAGAACAGTCAGTTGGTAAATTTACGTGTTACCTACTTGTGCCGGCCTAGTAAATTTCAGAGGTAGTTCAAACAAATTTTGAACTTAAATATCTGAATACGATACATTTAAAAAATTTACTTAAGTTTTTTTTACAATTGCTTCATTTAAATTACTCCCTAATTATGACTCTTACGGAAAAATAATTTTTATAAACCTTTTTATGTGTTAGTTGTGAAGTTAGATGAAGTTTAGATCGCCAAGTATTTTTCATTTGCCATTTGAGTTTTTCAGGTTTTAAATTAAAGTGAATTATATATTATAAAAAAAAAATTATGTGAACCTATTTTGTAATAAATAAATAATGTTTTTTCAAAGTTATGTTATGAGCATATGAGCATGTTTGGATTTTCTTTATTTGACACCTCCAATAAATTTTCCATGTAACAGTTTGTAAATTATTCAGTTCTACACTCTTAAAATGCAGATAATTACTGTGACGACTATTAAATTGTAAAATTAAGGCAATCAAATTTTTTTATTATAATTATATTGTTTAATTGAATATATATATCTTGTTGAATTATTCTCTTTTTTTTTTCAAATGTTGTTAAACATTATATTAACTAAATATGTATTTGGTACAGTAGCGGAATACCCATTCGGGAAACTAGGCAGATCCCTAAGACTCGCCTAAAAAAGAGACCAGTATTTTAAATCTGAAATAAATATGTAAAATATACTGTATTAAAGTTAATAAAGTGAAACTGATTTCGTTTAATTAAAGTTGTTTAATAATTAGTTTAAACAGTAAATACAATTTAAAAACATTGAATTAAAGTTTTTTTTGGTAAAGACCTGCATAATTTTATAGGTTATGACATGACATTGTGGTGGAGAAGGAGGGCAAAACTACTAAAAAAAAGCGAATAATAAAAAAGTTTTTTAAAAAAACACCTCAGTTGTCGTCAAATTAGACCCTCTAATCATCTCTGCCTATGGTTTGAAATGCTATAATCCGCCATTGGTTATGTATAAAATATTAGCTGTTAATAACTGCAAGCTAATCTGATAAAAAAACTAAATATTATTTTATTCATAAATAGAACATTTAGGGCAATACATGTACAAACAATCATTTTTATTACCTATTTTTCACCTATTTCGTTTTTAAAGTTTCTTAAATTTTAATTTAATTGTCATAATAAAAATTTGATTGTCAAATTAAAAATGAGTTGTCATAAATTTATTAAATTTCTAAAAACAAAATTTTTTATGGAATGTCTTAACTGAAACCTCAAAGTGGTTTCCTGCTCTATACTAGATAAATAGTTCTGAACAATATCTATCAACATTTTTTGAGAAATTCATTTTTTAAATTATGTCTATTAATAATGCGATTTCTACCTATTGAAAATACCACTTCAACATCCCATTTAAAGAAAAGGTTTGAAAAAAGAAAGATTATAAATGAACAAAACCCTGCGTATTATAACGGTGGCGAAACCAGTTTAATTTTTTCATCAAGTCAAAGAGAAATTGAAATTGATACACAGTTCATTGAGGAAGCAACTAAAACTACATGCGAATATTACTCAATTGAGGAGGAAACATCGAAATGGGTTTGCAATGAATGTAATTGTAACAGACCTAAAAAGTACTCAAGTAAAACATCAAAAAGTATACTAGATTACCATCTTGAACATGATCACGAAATAATAACCCCGAAGAAAAAACGAAACATGAGTGGTTTGTCAAAAGAAAATAGCGATAAGTTTGATAGAAATCTTTTAATATTCATTATTGCCTGTTGTCTTCCATTTATGTTGGTAGAAAGTAATGCCTTTAAAGATTTTATTTTTTGCTTAAGTCCTAAGTACAAAGTGCGTAGCCAAAAAAAATTAAGATCTCTTTTAACAGATTTATTTAGAGAAAAAATTGAACATTTGAAGTCTAAATTATTGTCAATTAAATTTTATCTATTACTACCGATGGGTGGACGTCCTGTCAAAACTATAGTTACATATCTGCAACTGCACATTTTATTTCTGAAAAAAACAATTTCATCAGTTTTTGTTTGGGATTTGCATATCTTAATGGGCGCCATGATGCAGATAATTTGAAAGACGCTTTGCTGAAAATTTTTAAAAATTCAAGGTAGATGATAAAATAATGAGTGTAGTATCCGACAATGCCACTAACGTACGTAACTGTCTCAATTCTTTAAAAGTTAGTTTAAACATTCAACCAATACGATTTACGGGGCATGTTTTGCAATTAGTAGTAAAAACTGTCATAGATTTAGTTGAAGAAGGTGAAAACGATAGCTCGTCGAAATTCTTTTTTATAGCAAAAACATTAACAAAGTGCAAAAAAATTGTTACATTTTTCAATCATTCTTCTCAACTTAATGATTTATTAGAAGAAAGTCAAATACAACAAGGTGTCGAAAGAAATCACATCCTTCATTTGATTCAAGATGTGAAAACTCGTTGGCACTCCACGTTTCTTATGGCTGAAAGAATGCTTAAACTTCACTCCTACGTAAAAGATATTTTTTTATTCAAAGCAACAATACAAAGATACGAGAAAAAATTTGCTCAATGAAGATGAAATAGTTAACTTAAAAAAAAACGGTAAAAGCATTAGTAAGCTTTAATCAAGTAAGTGTTTTACTTTCGGGCGATACTTATGCAACATGTTCTTTAATTATTCCAAGTATAAAGTACCTTGAGAAGCAACTAAATAAGAAAAAAAGTGATACCCCTCCTTTAATTGTGCTATTAAAATTGCATTTATTAGAATCTTTACAAACATACAAAGATTCATACAAATTAGAAAATAATTTGTTTTTATTATGTGCTACTTTTTTTGGTCCAAATTATAAAAGTTTTCAATTCTTTGAAAAGTACGAAAAAAAAAAGTATTTCAAATGCGTTAAGGAATTTTTGTCGGATTTTTATTTGACAAAAAAACTTTGTGATATAATTTCAGTTAAAAAGGTGACAATCAAATCAAAAAAATTTAAGTTATCATTTGACGATGAAGATTATGATTCCGGAAATGATAGTGACAAAATAATAAGTTTGGATTTAAAAAAAGAAATTAGTGGTTACAGAAAATTGTCAGTAAATGAGCAAAATGTTTTACAGTTTTAACATCAAAATCAAGATGTATTTCCAATATTGTATTGTATTTCAACAATGATTTTATGTACGCCTGCAGCCAGTGCACCAAGTGAACGCCTTTTCCCTGACGCATTAAACAATTTGTATGCAAAGCGAAACAGAATGACAACTGAATGTTTTCAAATGTTGATGTTTTTGTACGAAAATTTGGAATTTTTTAATTTAGTTTAAATTTAATACAGATGTTTTTTCTTGTATTAATTTTTTTTTAATACATCTTATTGTTTTTAACTTAATATTTACTTAAGACTTAAGTAAATATTATTAAATTTAGTATTCGAACTCTTTTGTGTGAAACTGATTTTTAGTTTAAATTTAATACTGATGTTTTTTCTTGCATCAATTTTTTTTAATACATTTTATTGTTCTTAACTTATTATTTACTTAAGACTTAAGTAAATATTATTAAATTTAGTATTCGAACTCTTTTGTGTGAAACTGATTTTTTTTTGTTGCAAAGTTGTAAAAATTAATGTAGTTTTTTAAATTATAAATGTGTTTAAAAAAAATGGTAAAGAAAAAATTGAGAATTAAAAAAATTAAAGTGTGGTTTTAATATTCTCGAGTGTGCGGTTTTATCATAATGTTGCCTAAAACCGCATACTTTTTTTTTTACCTTTATTATTTTGATTGTTTGATTTTTTTTTTTTTAATATTTATTTACATATTCTTTAGTATTTTTTTTTAACATCTATCTAATGAAAAAATATAAAAACAGTTATTGAATTTTAATTGATAATTGTTTTGACCCAGTTTTACATGTATTTTTAAGGGCGTATTGCATTTTTCAAGTAGTTTTAACAATTCAAATATTAACTAAAATAAAATAAAAATATACTTTCGAGTTGCTGCTATCGCCCACCAACTGGTGTAATGAATTATTTTAATACTTTTTAAAATGAAGTTATTTTTAAAGAAAGTAACCACAAAAAAAAAATTAAACTATTTAAATGGAGATTTATTTGGATTGTTGACAGTATCACGTCAAATACAACTTCAAATGACTTATTTAAAAACGGAGCGTTTCATAAAAATACTAAATCAGCAATATAATACTAATCAGAAAAATACTAATCAACAAATACTAATTCTAATATATAAAATACTAATACTAAAATATAAAATAATAATACTAAACTAAATACTAATACTAATACTAATCACTGATTAGTATTAGTATTAGTATAAAATAATAATACTAAATTAAATACTAATACTAATACTAATCACTGATTAGTATTAGTATTAGTATTTAGTTTAGTATTACTATTTTATATTTTAGTATTAGTATTTTATATATTAGAATTAGTATTTGTTGATTAGTATTTTGCTGATTAGTATTATATTGCTGATTTAGTATTTTTAACGAAATTTAAAAATCATCCAATAATGAAATTTGTTTATGGATGATTCCATAAGCTAAATCTAAAAATACACTACTTTTTAACAAAACTAAATTTATGTTTTAAATAGTATAATATATATTATATAATGTATTGTATATGTTATATAATATATTATAAAATATTATTAAAAAAAAGTTAAGAAAAAAAGATCTACATGATAATGATTACTATCACATTATGGTATTTTTGTTTAACCTATGTAATATATTAAAACATTAACAAAAGCTATTTTTATTTATAATACCAATAGCTAATTCAACAAAATTGTTGAGTCAGCAAAATTATTTACAACTTGGGTATATGTCAAAGAACATTTAAAAATACAACTTTTCTTTTTACTTAGCTGCATTGAACTATAAATGAGTAAGTTTAATAAATAAGTTAACTATATAAATGAATCATACATAATATAAAAAAACACATTCAAATAATAATAAATTCATTTACATACCTAGTAAACTTAAAAAATCTCAACAATTTTAGTTGACGAAAAACAGATACCCCAATGTTTATCTTATAATAGCTTTTAATAACCCAATCCAATAAACTGGCAATGAGAACCTTTAAAACAAAAATATAAATTATATGTACATACATATTGCGCACTATATATATATTTATATATAGTGCGCAATATGTATATATTTATATAAATATATATATATTATATATATATATATATATATATATATATATATATATATATATATATATATATATATATATATATATATATATATATATATATATATATATATATACATATACATATATATATATATATATATATATATATATATATATATATATATATATATATATATAATATATGCGTGTGTATTTAATATATAAATATAAAAATATATATATAATATTTATATTATATATACAAATTTGTGTGTATATATATAATTTTTTTTGTTAATTCAATCTCCTCAAGGCTGAAAAGGCCACTATAGTTGAGGAGGCTACTATATATATACATATATATATATATATATATATATATATATATATATATATATATATATATATATATATATATATATATACACATATATATATATATACATATATATATATATATATATATATATATATATATATTTTTAAAAATTACACAATGTTTTTTATTTTTGACATGTTTCGTAAAATTTTATTTACATTTTCAAAAGATTATTTTACAATAATAAAACATATTTATTAGAAAATAACTCGATAAATAACCAATCAAAATAACTAACTGTCAAAAAAAAATAATAATAATGATAAACTGACAGTAAAATTAAATGGCTAAGTTTATAGCATATTGTGTGAGGGACTTTCTATTTAATGTGGTGGGCTTCTTTTATCTTTAATTTGTGTTTGGTTGGGACATTATCCAAAATCTCAAAATTTTTACAATTTAAAATAAATTTAAGTGTTTAAATATATGAGATTGTTTATCACTTTTAAGGTGCTCATTTATTCTAGTTGCCAAATATCTGGAGGTTTTTCCAATATAACTGGCATTACAGCCAGCGCAAAAAAATTTATAGACAACATAAGATTTAAGCAATTTAGGTGACTAGTGACTTTTTAAAGGAAAAACAATCTTGTATTTTATTTGTAGTGAAAATTAATTTTATTAAAACATCCTTGCAATATTTATGAACAATTTTTGAAATTTTCATTTTAGTATAATTAGAGTAGATTCCAATATATGGAAGCTGAAAGTATCTTATATTTAGGCTATTATCAATGTTAGAAACAGATGGGCTCATTTTCTTAACAATATAGGATTTAATTTCAGAGTCAATTATTTTTTGTGGAAATTATTATTTAGTAAAAGTAATGATAGATTCTTAATATCTTTATCAAAACCAACCCAAGTATTATTAGTTTTAAATGTACGATCCAATCAAACAACAAGCAAGTCTAAATTTGTAGCAAGAAGAAATAAAACTTAAAAAATTTTGTAAAAGACCTGTATATGTTTTTTTGTGATAAACTGAAGTCTATAGTGAATTGGATTTTTTAATAAGTACATCTAAAAAGGCAATCTGGTTATCTTGTTCTTTTTCTATAGTAAATTTCAAATTTTTATTTTTTTATTGAGGTGTTTGAAAAATTCTTGAGCTTCATATTCAGAATTAAAAATGGCAATTATATCATCCACATAGCGTTAATTAAATAATGGTGTTGTAAAGGAGCAGTTATTGATCCATGTTTGTTCATGAAATCCGACAAAAATATTAGCTAATATGGCGCTAAAGGAAAACCCATAGCAACACCATCCGTTTGATCGTAATATTTTTCGTCTAATAAAAAATGTGAACCGGATATGGAAATCTGAAGTAATTTTTTAAACTGAATTTTTGAAAAACATTTTGAGTTAATTTTATCTTTAAAAAATAAATCAGTTGCTATGTTAATTTAATTTTTAAATATTCCTCTATTAATTTATATTTTTGTCTTGACAACTGTCAAAATATGCTTTGTTCCATAAATAATTCTCCTTTATTCTAATGTACTTTATTTCTTCCCTTAGACGTTTACTGCTCATGTGTGACCATTCAGCGAATTTTATATGCTAAAATTTAAAAAAAAAAAAATATTTTTCCCCAACCAAACACAAATTAAAGATAAAAGAAGGCCTCCACAATGAAGGGAAAGTCCCTCACTTAATAAACAAACTTCACAATATGCTATATATGTATGTATATATATATATATATATATATATATATATATATATATATATATATACATATATATAAATATATATATATACATATATATATATATACATATATATATATATATACATATATATATATATATACATATATATATATATATATATATATATATATATATGTGTGTGTGTATATATATCTATGTGTATATATATATATATATATATATATATATATATATATATGTGTGTGTGTGTGTGTGTGTATTTATATATATATATATACACACAATAATATATATAGCCTAATATATTTATATATGATATATATTTATATTATTGTATAGATATAGATATTTAAATTATTATATATATAAATATATATATAAATATATACATATATATATAAATATATATATACATATATATACATATATATATATATATATATATATATATATATATATATATATATATATATATGTATATATATATATATATATATATATATATATATATATATATATATATATATATATATATATATATATATATATATATATATATATCCTTATAGTGTAGTAGAAAGAGTCTTTTAATGTAAAAAAATTCTCTTTCGACTACAATTTTAATTACCTTGTCTCTTAAGCTGTATTTGATTGTCGCCGAAATGTCAAAGCAATTCAATTAATGCAAAAGTACATTAAATTTTGTTTTTTAAAAAATTTTTAAAAACCGCAATAATAACGACTAGAAAGTTTTTTTTAATTAGTGGTGTTTTTGTTTTTATTTTATTAAAAAACATTTTAAAAACATGCGTAAATGTTGCTACATCGACTATCTTATAGCCTGACTCGCAACGGAGTGTTTCTACATCGACTATCTTATAGCCTGACTCGCAACAGAGTGCTGCTACATCGACTGACAAATAGCCTGACTCGCAAGGGAGTACTGCTACATCGACTGACAAATAGCCTGACTCGCAAGAGTGTTCTGCTACATCGACTGAGGGTTTGGTTTGGACAGGCAGTCTATCATTTAAAAAAAAAAAATTTAAGTTTTTACACTTTTTCTGGTCTGGTTTATTAACATGCTCTTTAAAACTACAGTTTTTGGGAAACTCTTTCTGACTACCATGCAAGAGTATATATATATATATATATATATATATATATATATATATATATATATATATATATATATATATATATATATATATATATATATATACTCTTGCATGGTAGTTAAAAAGAGTTTCCCATAAACTGTAGTTTTAAAGAGCGCGTTAATAAACCAGACCAGAAAAAGTTTAAAAACTTAAATTTTTTTTTTTTTTAAATGATAGACTGCCTGCCCAAACCAAATCCTCAGTCGATGTAGCAGCACTCCCTTGCGAGTCAGGCTATTTGTCAGTCGTTGTAGCAGCACTCCCTTGCGAGTCAGGCTATTTGTCAGTCGATGTAGCAGCACTCTCTTGCGAGTCAGGCTATTTGTCAGTCGATGTAGCAGCACTCCGTTGCGAGTCAGGCTTAATCAATCATAATACTTAATCAAAATATATTTTTGATTAAGTATTTTGATGTAATAATAGGAAGACTCTTATAACTGTTAGAATGCCTAATATTATTAAATAATATATATTTATTGATATATATCAATATATCTTATACTACTGGTTTAGGTGAGCAGTCTGATGTCATACTCCAATAGCCTGCTGCCAAGGGCTATAGTACATACATCGACTGACAAATATCTGACTCTTAGCAGAATGCTGCTAAATCTACAGGAAATGTTTATCAATTTACAGATAAACATTTCCTGCTTTAAAACTCATGGCATAAACTATTAAATCAAAATACCACTAAGGTTAGCTAACGCTGCTCATTCAATATTTCAAAAATCATAAAAAGCCACAACAAAAAAAATAATTCAAAAATCACGACTGAAAGTTTCCCATTTAATTGCAAACTGAAAGAAGCCTTTTTTATTAAAAATATGGATATTTTATTTGACATCTTGAACATCTTGATTTGAATGCTTGAAGATTTAAGAGTTTGGATTAAGGGTTGGCATTTTTCTGGTGCTCGCAGCAAAAAAAGTATATTCAGTCATAGGGGTTTAAACTATTTCTAATATTTTTGTATATTTATAATATACAAAACAAAGGAGGTTGGAATTGTTTTTTATATTTACAATATACAAAACAAAGAAGGCAGGAATGACAGACCAACAGCAATGCAGTTTAAATCAGTATATAAAATTGTCTTCGTACTCCTTTTAATAGAACAAACTAACTCTAATAGTAATTGTTTCCCTGAATCAGATTTCTATCCTGCAGTTACCATTGACTCAATTACCAAAATAGTATTTAAGAATCAAATCTCTGCAAATGAACAATTGATTTTCAAACAGCCAACTGCATTATTTAAAAAGAACCTTATGCATTACAAAATGTTTCAACTGATTCAGTTTCACATTAAACAGGTTTTGAAATCAATTGCAGATGATTTGATAAAGAACGTTTAAGTCTGTCAAAAATGTGTACAAGCTCTTTCAAGTGTAAAGTAACATTTAATACTGATTCTTTTCTACAAAACCTACTTCACAAAATGAAAACTGTATTTATAAAAAAAAAGAATTCCGGCCAGAACAAGACTTATACTTATGTAATTTTAAGTTTAAAATTTAAAGTGAAAGCCTGCACCTCAGCATCATGGTTACATAATATATTTTTATAACCTATAATATATTTATATATATATAATTTATATATATTATAAATATATATAACCTATTTCATTAATTTGATTCTTGTTTTATTTAAATCTGATATTTTGTTTTTATTCGTTCCTTATAATTTTATTATTATATTTATTATTATAATTTTATTTATTGAGAGTTTTAATCTGCATAATATTTATATTAAAAATTTTTTTTTGTTTTCTATTTTTCCATTTAGGTCATAATTGGATATTTTCTATATTAGGCATCCTATATTTTTTATTTTCAAAATTTAAGTATCATTTAAAATGAGAGTCTTCACAGTGGCAAGTAAAATTTTTTGATG